ACACAGGCCGGGCTGAGGGACCCCCTCTCCCCCGAGTGCACAAATTTTTGTGCACCGGGCCTCTAGTGATTATATAAAAGAAAGAATAATCAAAGAACAAAAAGCTCCTGAAAAATTAAAATATAATACCAAAATTTCAGTAACCAGGCTTGAAAATAAAGTTGAGGAAATCACACATCCTATATAATAAAACCCTAATATGCAAATCGACCAAATGGCTGAACCACTGACCCCCCAGGGGACAGACAGTCAATGCAGGAGCAGCCCCCTGATAGTCAGTGCACTCCCACAGGGGGAGTGCCACTCAGCCAGAAGCCAGGCTCACAGCTGGCGAGCCCAGAGGCGGTGGCGGGAGCCTCTCCCGCCTCCGCTGCAGGCAGATGGTAAGGAGCAAGGGGTCCTGGAATGTGAGAGCCCCAGACTGCAAGAGAGATTTCCAGGGGGATCGAGCCTAAGCCAGTAGGCGGACAACCCCTGTGGGGTCCCAGACTGTGAGAGGGTGCAGGCCGAGCTGAGGGATGCCCCCCCCCCCAGTGCACGAATGTTGTGCCCCAGGCTTCTAGTAAGAAGAGCAAAAAGAGAGCTTCCATTCATCAAAATTTCTTGAATATTTACTATGTGTCAGGTACTGTTCTAGGCTCTTGGAATATATTATGTCAACAACAAACTGACAAAGATTCCCTCTGCTTATGTAGCTTATACTTTGGTGGACAATATGATAATGAAGAAAATTAGAACAATCCAAGTCATACATTATCAAACCAATAGGAATGTCCAGAAAGAAAACAGAAAATGGTGGGAGCAAATTATCAATCCAAAATACTTTCCCAGCTCTGAAGGACTTGAGTTTTCAGATTTAGAGGGCCCACCTAGAGCCCAACAAAAGAGCATTATGAGTTTCCAGAACACTGGGGATAAAGAGAAGAACCTGAAAAGTTAATGAGAGAAAAAATATATCACATACAAAGTATTTGACTTCACAATAGCAAGATTAAAGGCTAGAGGACAATGAGGTGATGCCTTCAAAATTCTGAGTAACTGATTATTTTCAGCCAAGAATTTTATCTTTACCTAAGTTATTAATCAATTCAGAGGGTAGAATAACATTATTTCCAACCAAGAATTTTATCTTCACCTAAGTTATTAATCAAATCAAAGGGTAGAATAACCCTTACTCAGATGGAAATGCATAATCAAAACAAGGATGTAAACCAAGAAAGAGAATCACAAAACATAGAGCTTATCCAGGGGAGAGGTGAAAGGAATTTACAGGATGACAGCTGTGCAGTAAGTTCAGAAAGCAAATGGTTCAGATTGGAGAAGACCAGAGAGTCCCAGGAGCAACATTTCTAGGGAGAAAAAGCCTCAAAATCCAAATAAAGCCAAACAACAACAAAACTAAGAGATCATCTGAAATCTTTGCTCATGTGACCATGTGAACAATTGTACCAATAGGTATTTTACAAGACTGTCGGAAGGTATAGGAAGACTTGGAGATAGTTTCAAATAAACTATGTAATGGGGGAAATAAATTAAGTCATCATTAACTTCTGAAAAAACAGAAATTGTACAAAAAGGAAATGTAATCATAATACAATTCTTAACCCATCAGTGAAATATTTGTGTAATCATGGTGATGCCAACATTAAATTGTGATATGAACTATATTGGGAGAATAAAGGAGGAGAGAAAATTGGAAGAAAATTCCATCTTCATATACTATAATAAGATGCCAGTAGTTTAATTACATTGAATCAAAATAAAATAATGTCCACCACTCTTATTCAAGATAGTACAGGAAGTCCTAGCCACAGCGATCAGACAAGAAGAAGAAATAAAAGGCATTCAAATTGGAAAGGAGGAAGTAAAACTCTCATTATTTGCAGATAACATGATATTGTACATAGAAAACCCTAAAGACTCCATTGGTAGAAAAAGCAGATTAAAAAAACCATTAAGCAAATAGAAGAGTTGAAGGACATGATCAACAAAGTTGGCCTGATAAATATAGAACACTATAAACAACAACTGAAGAATATATATACTCTATTCAAATGCAAATGAAATATTCACCAACATTTATCATACTATGGACTCTAAAGCAAGTGTTAAATTTCAAAGGACTGAAATCATACAGAGTATATTATCTGACCACAGTAGAATTAAGCTAGAAATCAATAACAAAAATATAACAGGACATCTCTATTTGAAAATTATATAATACACTCCAAATAACCCAGGGTTCAAAGGAGAAACAAATGTACAGCATAGGGAATACAGTCAATAATATTGTAATAACTATGTATGGTGCCAGCTATGATAACCCAAGGGTGAACCTAGGTAACTAGGCTTAAGTTTAACAACAAGAATTTTTTAAAAAACTGAGCAGAGATTCCAGTTGTCACACACTGCGGGGTAAATAGACACTACATAATTAGTCCAAGCACATCACTCACATAAATAAATAAATATTTAAAAACAAAGAAACAAGACATAGCCCATACAGAGGAAAAAGCAGCTTATATGCATTGTTTCTAGGAGGGCCTAGATAAAGATTTCAAATAAGCTATTATAAATGTGTTTGAATTACTAAAGGACACCATGTTTAAAGAATTAAAGCGGGGGGAGTGGGAGCAGGCGGGGAGAGGTCAATGGGGGGAAAAAGAGGCATATATAAAACTTTCAACAATAAAGAATTTTAAAAAAGAATTAAATGTATGATGATAATGACTCATCACATAGAGAATATTAATAAAAAGATACAAATTATAGAAATAATGGAAATTCTGTAGTTAAAGGGTATAGCAAATAAAAAAAATTTACTCAAGGGGCTCAACAGTAAAAAGGAATGAAGAAAACTGAGTAATTTCAAAGGCCTGTGAGACACCATCAAACACACCACATATGCTTAATGGGATTTCCAGAAGAGGGGCGGGGGCAATGACATAAGTATTTGAAGAAATAATGGGTAAAATTTCTCAAATTTGATGGAAAACTTTAAGCTACGCATCCAAGAAGCTCAATGAATTCCAAGTAGAACAAACACAAAGATATTCACAGCTAGATAGATATTAATCAAATTGTTCAAAGCCAAAGCCAAGAGAAAAACTTGAAAACAGTAGGAGAAAAATTATATATATGCAAAGGAACCACAATAATATTAACAGCTGCCTTGTCATCAGAAACAATGGAGACAAAAGGAAGCAACAGGTGCCCATCAATAGATGAGTGGATCAAAAAAATTGTGGTACATAAGTACAGTGGAATATTACTTGGCCATAAAAAAGAATAAAATCTTACCATTCGGGACAGCATGGTTGGACCTAGAGGACATTCTGATCAGTAAATAAGCCAGTCAAAGAAAGACAAATATCATATGATTTCACTTATATTTGGAATATAAATAACAATATAAACAAACAAACAAAACAGAAACAGACTCAGAGATACAGAAAACAGACTGATGGTTGCCAGAGGGGAGGGGGATTGGGGACTGAGTAAAAAAGGTGAAAGGATTAAGAAGTACAAGTTGATAGCTGCAAAATAATCACAGGAATGTAAAGCATAGCATAGGGAATATAGTCAATAATATTGTAATAACTATGTACTGGGCACATGCCCAGGTTTTGGGCTCAATCCCCAGTGGGGGTGTGCAGGAAGCAGCCAATCAATGATTCTCTTTCACTCTCCCTATCTCTCTGAAATCAATAAAAATGTATTTTTTTAAAAAAAATTTAAGAAAGATAGAAACAATGGAGACAAGAAGGCAGTGTTATGACATGTGCAAGGTGCTGGGTGGCGGGACTGCAGCCAAGAATTCTAGAATTCAGTTCACCGTGGTAACAGCTCATGACAACACTTTCCTCTCAGCTTTGGGTGAGCCTTCAGGTCTTCTGCTCTAAGATGTGCTGATGAGAAGGGCGTGGAGAGGTCTCTGACCTGACACTATGGGTGACAACTTTGAAGGTATGAGCATTGAACAACTGAAACTGGAGTTATTGGAATAAATCCGTAAGAAAGACTTAGTAAAACTCTCAATAAATGAACTAACACGTAAGCAGAACAGAAAGCCAACTTCATTAAAAACATTGAATGGAAAATGCTTTATGAGACACAACTTGAAGTGAATTATCAACTGAGAGAGCAAATAGTTACTCTGAAAGAGAAATCGGGAAAACTCAGTGGAGATCCTTCAGATATACAAGGTACTATTGAAGTCTACATGGAATTGTCAATGAGATATTTAGTGAAATTACTTAGAAAACTACTCCAAGAGAAAAGGCGTCTTGAAAATCAAGTGAAATACTATTCGGTTAAAGCGGAACAAGAAGAAAGGGCTTACAAAAAGGTCGAGGATGAATGCCAAAAATACCTTAATAGCCTATTTCAGGTCTCTCACTTATACAAAATTCCTAGAAGACAACATATGGATGAATTCCATAGAAGGAAAGAGATTCCAGTAGAAATGGGAAGGTACAATACAGCTAATCAGAAGATAGGAAATGCTAAGAGAGAATCAGCAAAACAGAGTAGAAGATCAAACTGTCTTCCAAAACTCAATCCATGATTCAAGAATTGGATGGGTTTCTATCTTTTCCCCTTTTTCATTTGTTATATTCACCTTGTGAAGTTAATACTCAACACGTTTTTTTTTCAGGGAATGAAATAGATAAGAGTTATTAAACCTCTTTCGCTCCTCTTTCAGAAGTTTGTCCCTTTGTCTGTGTCAAAGTAATTTTCTTAGTAATTTGGTTTAGTTTCAAAAATTATTTTAGAAAGTAATTTTGGTGACCCTAAAATTATAATAGCAGTGTTTGTAATTCTTAAAATATCCTAAGAAACCTGAGTGAACTATCCCAATCATTGCAATAGTGTATTAGGTGCACATCTTATCATGGGGACTCACTCCATCATGTTTAAGTGTTAGCTCTACAGGAACTACTTTGGAATACTTTCCAGATGTTAGAAAATGTCTGTGTTAGAGTGATGGCATGCATGTTGGTGGGGTACTATAAAGAACTGAAATGGGAGACACTCTAAGATCTCTATTCTGTTATCAGTTTTGCCACTGACACTATGGGTGACAACTTGGAAGGTATGAGCATTCTGACTTTGAGTAAATCACTTTGCATTGCATCAGTTTTGCCACTGACACTATGGATGACAACTTCGAAGGTATGAGCATTGTGGCTTTGAGTAAATCACTTTGCATTGCATCCCTTTCAGCATTTATACAGTTGGGAATATTTACCTACTTCCTTGAGATTGCTGTGCAGATCAAGAATACTTACTAAATATTTATTTATTTGTTTGTTTGTTTATTTATTTATT